AAATACTACATTCAAGAAAAGAGAAGTTTAATTTCATTAAGGGGAGTACAAGTTAAATAATATGAAATAATTTCTTAACCTTTCCAACTACTAGAGACTTAAACAATGATTAATAATACAAATATTGTTAGCACACTGGAGAAACAAAGTAAAGTGATGAGAACTGAGGTTTTTTTAGAATTTGATTTGGCTATGTTTTTCAAAAAGATTTTAAATTGTGTGCATTTAACAGTTTCAATTTTAGAAATTTGCTCCATGGATATGCCAGCACAAACATGCCAATGATGCATTAAATAAAGGCCTCTCTACATAGTGGAGGCTGTGCCTGTCCCCGCAGATGTGGGGAGATGGTCATGAGATGCCAAGTTATAGTTTGCATTGCCTGGTTTCATTGGTGGTGAAAAATGAATAAAGTAGATGCATGTGTAACACCATTGCATAGAAAATGTATAGAAGGACGTATTGTAAATTGTTAGACATAAGTGCATCTGGAAAATGGATTGGGAAGAGACAGGTAGGGAATTGGCTGAGACTTTTGACATTTATTCCATAATAATTTATGGCATTTATTTTGCTTTGGAAGATAATTACCTTTCTGGTTTTTTGACACAGAATCTCACTCTGTAGTCCAGGTTGACTTACATATCACTATGTAGCCCAAGCTGGCCTTGAACTTGTAACAATCCTCCTGCCAGAACCTCCCCAGTGATGGTATTATAGATATGACTCATCACATCTGCCTAGTTAATTACTTTGATGATACACTTTAAAAGTTTTATTTGCCTTGGGGAAGAAAAAAGTTCAGCACTATTCTAGTCTAGTAGATTGCAGTAAGTTCCTCTCATTCTGTCATCAGTGTTGTATAATATCCAAAAGTTAGAGAGTTCCTCTTTCATAAAAGTTCTTATGAAATAGTGAGTATTAAAAACATTTTCCTTTGAGGGGCTGGAGAGATGGCTCAATGGTTAAGAACACTGGCTGTTCTTACGGAAGACCTGGGTTCGAATCCCAGCATCCACATGGCAGCTAACAACTGCCCATAACTCTAGTTCCAGGGCATCTGACAGCCTCTTCTCTCCTCCATGGGCATTGCATGACACGGGCGCACTTACCTACATGCAGGCAAGACACGCATACACATAAAATAAAAGTAATAAATAAAATATTTAAAATTTTTTTCCCTTTGGGAAAAAAACACACTTTTTTAAAGGCTATATTTTCTTTAGCAAAGAAAACAGACACAAATTTCAATATTTTTTAGGATGCTTTATTGGCATGAACATTATTTTGTCAGTATTTCCTCTTAGATATATTTATAGTTCTGATAAATATATATATTCTTAGAATTTTTTTCTAAGTTTTAGGCTTCTCTTCAAACAGGTATATAAGAAGGCTGGGAATATAACTCAGTGGTATAACATTTGCTTAGCATGTGCAAGGCCCTGGGTTCAATTCCTCACACCGCAAAGTTAATTAGATAACATAAAGAATTTTAATGTCATAAAAGATATATAAAGAGGTCAGTAAACCTCTTTAGACGCTGCTCTAGAATGCTGAATTTTACTTTATGTCCAACATCATCTTTAAGCTCCTTACCAAATGCTTAAAAGAAGGCCTTTTCAGGTACAAATTTATTTTGCAGGTGATGAGTGCACTTTTAACTTTAAAGGTCATGGTTAGATAAATGTCAGAGAAAGCCCACGCCTACTGAGTTCAAACAAACATAAGTTGTATCCGAATTTCACTAAAAGTTATCAGCTCTTTGGCTCCCTATTGTTACCAAAGGTTAAGTTACAATTCCAATAGAAGTCCCCCAGCTTTCTGCCTGATTTACCTAATGTGCCATCGTATAAGAGCAAGGAGCTGTGCTACTAATGCCAACCTCTGCTGTTTCAGAGAAAAATCTAAAGTAACTTTAAAGGGTGACAGCATCTTGCTAGCAAATATTGCTGTCCACGTGTGAAAGTGAATGCAGGGGAAATACAGTAGGGTCTCTAGAGAAATAGAAATAAAATAGGAAAATGAACTCTGTCCCTTTAAAGTGAGAACTAAGAGTTGTCCATGGGCTCCCACTATCATGAGGCATCGTGGTCATGGTTGAACAGTGTCTGCATTACAGCATGGAGTCCTTTCCTTGCCAGTTTGCTCATTCAACTGCGCCATGCTGTGTCAGCCTGCCTATTTCTGCTTCTGCATATAACTGTATTCTATTGCATGCCAACCATGTCCAGCCAGTCCACTCTTGGATATACACCCAATATCCATGTGAGCGCTTGTGCCCACCAAAAGACATGGAGATTATTCATGGCAGCGTTGCTCTTCAGAGACAGAATCTGTTGGAAAAGGGAAAGGAAGGAAAAAAACCCACCAAATTTCATTTGGCACCAGAGTGGAAAAGTATATTATAGGCACATATGGCTATTCATGGAGCAATGTGGATATACCTCAAAAAGCACATTGTTGAGCATAAGATATGAGAAATTGTGAAAAGCACTTATAGTGCTTTTATGTCCGTGTATAAACTCCTTCAGGCCATTTCTTCACCTCTGCAGAGCTCCAGCACCAGTTTACCCAGCTTAAAATGTGCTCGAGGAGTATCTGTTTAATGGGTGGTGGATATGATATGGGAAAAGACATAAAAGAGAGACTCGGCATTATTTAATGACAGCAACACACTTATATTTATATGAGAGCAAAGCATATGGAAACCAGAAATGTTAACACAGTATTATTTATAACTGACATTGGCTAGCTACAGTGCTCGTTGACAAGATTACAGCAAAAATTCAGAACAGTTTTAAAATAGGTGAGTGAGTCAGGGAGAGGAGGAGAGGAGCTTGTTGCCAAGCGTGACAACCTGAGTTTGATTCTGGGACCCACACGTTTGAAGGACAGAATGGACTTCCTCAAGTTGTCTTCTGACCTCCTCACATGTGCCGTACCACATGCACACAGACGTACATGAAAAAATCATTAAATAAATAAATGTGACTTAAAAAAAAAAAAAGAAGGCACAGCTAATGGAGCCTATAGTTCAGCCCCCAAATTAATCTAAACATGATATTGGGTAGATGTGATAGTTTTCTCTATTCATACTTTTTTACCTCAATGAGGAGGAAGTCTTTTCAACTCTGTCCCATTTCTTACTCAACAGAATGGATACGTAGAGTTGATTTTTCAGACTCTAGTGTGCTGACTAGGTTCTTGCCCTGGGGGATTTGTGTTTAAGGTTGAAGGTAAGATGAACATGGAAGGCATTCTCTGACTCCTTTGGTCGGGCCTTAAAGGTGGGGTATCTGGACCACTGTCAGATTTGTGGACCTCTCTGCCAAATGCCATATAATGCTCTGAGAGGGCCACCGTTTCTGACACCTCAAGTCCTTCATCCTAAACACATCCCTTTAGAGTGTCTATGATCCTCCTTCCTACTCTGCCTGTGGGTAAGGCATGGCTGCTTATTAGTCTGCAAAGTTTATCCAAGAGAAACTCTCAGAAGTCTAAAGAAAAGGTGCTTAAGCTTGAAAATGATTTGTCCTAATTATGGATCAGACAGACCACCTGAATTTGAGTCCATAGGGAGCCACAGGAACAAATTACCAGTCAATTTACAATCATTTATAGAAACTCTGGGCTGCTGAGCTGCAATTAACAGTGCTTTGTCGTTGTGGGAAAGGAAGTGTATTTCTTCCTTAAATATTGACTGGCAGGATTTCCTTTTTCCTAGTAGGGGAGTCTCATCAACTAGGTGAGAAGACATGGTTTAAACAATTGAGTTGAAAAGGAAAAAGCATTAGATGCTGTTATTTTGTGGAAAGGTGTTTGTAAAGTGCTGAGTGTCGTATTTTTGCCCTTAATATTACCCACATTGTCTTTTAGAAGTTTATTATTCTTATTTTAAGCTTACTATTTTTTATCTCAATTTATTGTGTGCTCAATGGTTTCTCATGAATGCAGTTTCTAATATATGCAGCTCTTTATCACTGAAGTCTTCCGGAAATGTTTTGTTTTACCTCGGGGAAAACAAAAGGCTAATGTTCTTTCCCTTCTTGCTGATCTTATCAGCTCGGTACACATATTCTGACCCCCTTGTACTCTCACTTTACATGGGGACTTTTCAGATAGAGAAACCAAGTTAGCTTGCCAACTGGACTTGAATTTCAGGTCTTACCCTGCTGACCCTGCACATGAAGAATAACTGACATAATGTCGTGGAAAACGAAAACCTATCTAGAACTTTAACCAAGCTTTTTATGAGGTTTCTTCAAAATATATAGCGAGATATAGGGTGTTAATTTGTTGGGGAGCACACATGTCAGAACTGAATGGTTTCACACTTTGTTTGTACAAAGCCACCAGTTACCTTCCGGTGTTAAGTTGTGCTCTGAGCAAATACCCTGCCATTACTGGGTAGTGGTGTTAGTCAAACACTGAATACTCTTGATTGGTCCTCTCTAAATTTTATCAGTAAGCTGAACTCTTGCGTTACTGGCAAATACTAAACTTAAACATCCTGAAAATTCTTAAAAGCTTGTTTTTACCTTTTCAGTCTTACATTGGGGTTATTTTAAAAATTTTATTTTATGTGTATGAATATAATGCCTGCACGTAGGTAGGTGCACCCTTGTTGTGCAGTGCCCGCGGAGGTCAGAAGAAGGTGTCCAATCCCCTGGTACTGGAGTTACACAGACAGTTGTTAGTCGACATGTGGGTGCTGGGACTTGAACTCAGGTCCTCTGCAAGAGCAGCCCGTGCTCTTAACTGCTGAGCCATCTCTCCAGCCCCACATTGGGCTTATTTATTCTTGAGTTTATGTATGCCTGTGATTTAGATACAGTGAGATCCCCGTATTAAGCAAAGATGTCATATGGAGGAAAAAAACATGCATATGCAAACTTTAAAGTGGTGGCTTTGCATTATAGATAAAAACACTTGGAAAGTAATCGTCATTGAACCTTTGAGGATGGTCTAATCTTGTCTTGGTTTGCTGGTTGCTTTTGCAGTTTAACTCAGCTGCCAAGCAGCTGATAGAGTGGGACAAGCCTTCCACAGCAGGAGTTGACTCTGCAGAATGTACCTCAGTGGCAGCCCAGAGCAGCGCTGCCCCAAAGCACTCCGACACCAAGAAGAACACCAGGAAGCGACACTCCTTCACTTCCCTCACCATGGCGAACAAGTCCTCCCAGGCATCCCAGAACCGCCACTCAATGGAGATCAGCCCCCCTGTGCTCATCAGCTCCAGCAACCCCACGGCTGCCGCCCGCATCAGCGAGCTGTCCGGCCTCTCCTGCAGCGCTCCTTCTCAGGTATAGCTTCTGCTGCTGCTCCCACATGTGCTGGAAACCATTTCTTTCAAACGTGTAAATTCAGCATCTTCCCCCTCTGCCTTCTTCTTGTTTACTGTAGCTACTTAGTTACTTTCTCATGGTTTGATGAAATACCCTGGCATAAGCAACTTGAGGGAGAATGGGTTCATTTAAGCTCACAGTTCCAGAGAGATGGAGTCCATCATGATGGGGAAGACACACAGACAGACATATGGACACATACAAACAGGCACATGAACACACAGACATATGGACATATGTATACAGAAACACAGATACATGGATATACACACAGGCACATGAACACATAGACACATGGACACACATATATAGAAACACACGTGGACATATACACAGACATATGAACACACATACAGACATATGGACACACAGAGGCACATGAACACACAGACCTATGGACACACAAACACACATGGACATATACACAGACATGTGGGCACACATACAGACACATGGACACACAGAGGCACACGAAAACACAGGCACACTTGGGCATACACACAGACACATGGACACTCAGAGGCACAAGAACACACAGACACATGGACACACAGAAGCACATGAACACACATACACATGGACACACAAACACACATGGACATATGCACAGACAGATATAGGCACACATACAGACACATGGACACAGAGGCACATGAACACACAGTGTGAGGAAGAGCAGAGGTTGTGGTTTCACTCACTAATAGCAGCTGCGGCGTGCATACAACAGGCACTAAACAAATGTTTATTGGCTGGATGAGTCACTTGAAAACTGGATACAGAGAGAAACTCTGTTATCTTACGTACACTAATTACCTTGTATGGAAAATAGACGTGGGTTTTTGATCACAGCGTGGTTAGTTGGCTTATGGATCAGAGTACAAAGTACCAAATGAGGTGAATCTGGGAAGATTTAAAACTGAATTTTGAATGAGAGTCTAAAGAAGGGGGCTAGTATAGACGGCCATTCAGTAACAGAAAAATGAATTCTTTTGAATGAGTTTCTATTTTGTGAGACTAGCAATATTTGCACAGTGAGATTTTCTTGACATAAAATTAAGCTTTTGCTAAGCACAGCGACAGCTCTGTACAGGAGGGGCTTTGAAAGGATAGGCTGTAATTTGGAGGTAGGAAAGTAAGCTGAGGGTTTATAGCTGTAGAGAACTCAGGTGTGAGCATGTCTGACAACCGAAGTGGAGTTGTTCTGTTTGAGCAGTGGAGGAAACAAGGCTATTTCTGTGTTCCCCTGAAACAGTTGGCCCTTTAACCATCATACTGCTCTTTCCTTAGGGATCCCAGTTGGTTCTGTTTCCGGTGGTAGTGTTGCCTCGGGGAGAAGTTATTCCTAGAAGAGGATGGGAGGTGTTTGAAGTACTGCCTGGTTTCTCCCACCTAGGTTTACAGAACACACCACTTATCTAGGGCACTGTGTGCATTGGAGGGAACGCAGTCCACAAGAAAGCATATGTGTCACGTGTAGGACAAGCACGAACGCTCCTGACTGCAGAGACGCGTGGAGATCAGTGTGTGGGAAAATGCCTGTGAGAGGCTGCTTCAAACAGGGCCGCTCTGCAACTGCTGCAGAGCCTCTCTTGCCACTGGCCTGATTTCTTTCTTGTTTTCCCTTATCTGTGGTCACCTTTAGCTTCAAGTTTCTTTCCTTCTAGTTTTTCTTCTCTTGTATGTGTTAGGGTTTGATTTATTTGAGATTACTAGAAAGTAAGAAACTTAAACAGGTTGGTAGTATTCCTTTTGTTCTCTGATCTGAATGAAATCTATAGCTGCAGATGTGTACGTACTCAAGTGCTGGTGTGATGGTAGAACAAGTTATTAGGGAACAGCGCACCTTTTGGCTCATTCCTCCATACCCCCATGCTTTTAGATGGCACTTAAAGACCTCACTGTCACATCCAGGGTCTCAGTCAGCAGGATCGAGAAGTGGCAGGAGGGTCAAAGGGCTGGCTTGCTTGCCAAGGCATTTCATGACTGTCCGGTGAGGACTGACCTTGCAAATGCTCAAACTGGAAGATAACTTTCAGGCTGCGCTGTGTCCAGGGACCATCAGCACAGATGTTCGTGGGTGTCGGTGACTGCCATCGGTAAAGCACATGATGGTACAAGCAACCAAGACGTTCGGGCTGCTCCTCTGACAACTCCCATGATGCTTCATGGTCTGTGCCACCCGGAGGAGTAATTCACAATATCAAGTGTTTGTGAAGTGTTTTTTATATTGCCAGTGCCCTCAGAGGAAGCAGGAAGGTTTATCTGCCCACCTGTGTTTGCTTGCCCAACTCTTCCTGCTTTGAACTAGTGCTTGCAGGTACTGCCCAGCTGAAATGCTTCTATACGTACTGGAAAAAACATTCGGTCTGTTGGGACATCCAGTTTCCCTACTTCAGCAAGCAGTACCCCTGCATTCTGCAATTAGATCTGCCCTGTATCCTGAGTGAAATTGATCAAGTAATTGGACAGAGATAGTAAAATGACCAGAATCACTCAATTTCTTTCTAGTGAATTAATCTTGAGTAGTATCATAGATGACACCTTTGAAAACAACTGACTTGGCTTGATATTATTCCTGTAAAAGTTGTAGACATTTCTGGGCAGCTGCATTTTAATTGTTTATTCTCACTGAAAGAAGTCATAAAGTATGATCTTGACAATAGTAGAATACCTTAGGACTTTTAAAGAGATTTAACTTATCAGTAGAAAAGGTGAATGTTGGGCCACAGATCAGGTTAACAGGATCTTCAGGAACATTGTGAGATTAGTGGAGGACAAGGTTGACTGTCCACATGGTTAGCTTGATTCATGGAAGATAGAAAATGAGGCAGTGTGTTACTGTGCAAGCCAACAGCACTTGAACTCTGTATATAACACATTGTAGTGACTGGCATGTCTGTGACTCCCCAGCATTGAGGAAAATGCCTGGTACACATTAGCTCGTCAGCGCTTTTGCAGTTGAATGGGCTGGAAAGATGGCTCAATGTGTAAAGTGTGTGCACGCATGAGGAAGACCTGAGTTTGGGTCCCCAGAGCCCACATAAAACCAGCTGCATGGCATGCATGTGTAGACCCAGTGCTTCTACAGAGAGACAGGAGGAAGAGACAGGAGGGAATTCCTGGAAGCTCACAGGTCAGCTGGTCAGCATATGCAGTGGTGAGTGAGCAAGAGACCCTGTCTCCAACAAGGCAGAAGGGGAGGACCAACACCAGAGGGTGTCATCTGACCGCCACACAGGCGCCATGGCACACATATGTCTCTCTCTCTCTCTCTCTCTCTCTCTCTCTCTCTCTCTCTCTCTCTCTCTCTCTCTCTCTCTCTCTCTCTCTCTCTCTCTCTCTCTCTCTCTCTCTCTCTCTCTCTCTCTCTCTCTCTCTCTCTCTCTCTCTCTCTCTCTCTCTCTCTCTCTCTCTCTCTCTCTCTCTCTCTCTCTCTCTCTCTCTCTCTCTCTCTCTCTCTCTCTCTCTCTCTCTCTCTCTCTCTCTCTCTCTCTCTCTCTCTCTCTCTCTCTCTCTCTCTCTCTCTCTCTCTCTCTCTCTCTCTCTCTCTCTCTCTCTCTCTCTCTCTCTCTCTCTCTCTCTCTCTCTCTCTCTCTCTCTCTCTCTCTCTCTCTCTCTCTCTCTCTCTCTCTCTCTCTCTCTCTCTCTCTCTCTCTCTCTCTCTCTCTCTCTCTCTCTCTCTCTCTCTCTCTCTCTCTCTCTCTCTCTCTCTCTCTCTCTCTCTCTCTCTCTCTCTCTCTCTCTCTCTCTCTCTCTCTCTCTCTCTCTCTCTCTCTCTCTCTCTCTCTCTCACACACACACACACACACACGTACATATACAAACAAACACTTGTATATACACTGAAAGTTTTTGGTTTTTACTTTTTTAGACAGGGTCTCACTCTGTAGCCCTAACTGGTCTGGATTCACTATGTAAGTAAGGCTGGCCTGGAACTCACAGAGATCCACCTCTCTCTACCTTCTGTGTGCTGGAATTAAAGGGATATGCCAGCTAAGGAGACAAATCACCTATTCTTTCTTTTTTTATCTATTTTAATAAACTTCTACTTATGTGTGTGTCAATGACAAAGGTGTTGTTAAAAACATGGCTGTCTTTTTAATAAGTTATTTTTCTTGGCAGGTTCATATAAGCACCACCGGGTTAATTGTGACTCCACCCCCAAGCAGCCCAGTGACAACTGGCCCATCTTTCACATTCCCATCAGATGTCCCCTACCAAGCTGCCCTTGCAGTGAGTATCATTTCCTTGTCTTCATTTCTCTTTGAGGCATTTGTCACGATGCTCCGGCCTATTCCACCCAACACCTGCAGTTTACACCGATGCTTGCTAGGTGGGGTGGATCTGCCTTTCATTTGTCTCTCCTAATCTCACAAAAATCAGACTCGCCAGCGGCCTGCCAAGTTTCTAATCATGGCAGTCAGTGGCCTGAAGTTATTAGAACCTTGAAAAGTACATTTAATTTTATTGAAGTTCAGTTTGATTTCCTGAAGGCTTAACCTTCATTTCTTTGGAGTTTCTGAATCCTGCTTATTCCTTTTAAAGACACATTTATAGAGGGGACATGGGTCTCTCAGGCTAAATGATTTGATTTCATCCACACAATAAATTGATACCAAAAGTCTACATTTAGGATTCATCTCTAGTTTCTTATCCTCTGTAACTCATGGCAACTCTAGGTTCCTGCTGTCCTGGGAGACTCACACAGAGTGTGTTGATTTTTCTAATGAAAACATGGCATCCCACAGATAGACTTAATCATTAATTGTATAAAAACACCTGAATGGGGGATGTTGACTAGGAGAATCAGCACACCCAATGAGATATATACAAAGAGGAAACCTTGGAGAGACGATTAAAAGGAGTGAATCAGGCAAAGGGATCCTAAGGCAGTGGAGAAAAACAATAACCCCTGCTTCCTAAAACCACAGCCCTGTGAGCAGCAAGGAAATGGTACGTGTGAGACATCTCTCACCCAGGCTAATGCCTTGGCTTATACTTTAGACTATTCAACTTTCAGACTGTGTTGAATGAAGATAGAGAGCCTCATTCAGTCAGACTGCCTAGTATCTGGACCATGGCATCACCCTCCCCTGCCCCACACCTGGAATGTGTGATGACCTTTTCAGAGGAACAGCATGGTCCATTGAAGGGGCCTGGTATGGAACAGACTAGGGCTTGAAGTTCAGCTCAGGCATGTCTTTGTCATGTGAACATGGAAAAAGTTACTCAGCACCTTTAAACCTCAGTGCCCTGGCTTGTAGAAGGATATTGATCATATGTACATCAGGGAGTTAGAATACAGAGAGGGATGGCTGCTGCTGATCCTCCCATTAGTCTCTGTTTTGAGGTGAGTCTGGGTCATGTGGCACTCTTTCCCCTAGGATGCTTTAGAGAGCCTGGTTCACTTGGTTATGGTTTTCTGCTCTCTACACTCATAAGAGTGAGGTTTCTAAGCAGCTGGTTTGTTTTGAGGTTGGAGATTTTATATGTTCTGTAAAGATTATATTTTTCCTCTGCTGGACTGTTTAGAGCCAAATTTGTAGCCCCCTCCAGCAAGAACCTCACAACATATTAGTCAAAATACTGGCTTCGTCTAGTTTTATTGTGTTCATTTTCCATTTGCTTCATTTTTCTTACTTAATGTTTATTTTGGCTTGATTTGTTTTATACATAATTAAAAGCTGCTTTTTGAAACAAGATGGGGTATAAATGAATGCAATAATTACCCAACTAGACTTAGAGTTTTGAAGACTTTTTACAGAGTAAAATATGTTCTTCTATTTAAATAGAAGCTAATAATGTTGTAGTCAGAGGTTAAAGGATTTTATTTATTTATATTTTTTTTGCTTTTGTTTTTTAATGCTCCCTGAATGATTACAGCTTCCTTGATAACACAACTGTTTAGTGAAGGAGCCGTGGCCTTGATTCATCTGGGGAGAAGATGAATTTCACTTACCATTTACTAAATGTGGTTTCCATGAGATTCTGTTAGCCCCAGATGTTTGTCTGGAGCCAAGTTTCATAACCATCCTGCCCTCTAATCTCCAGGGGAGATGCTTCCTTTTCTTTCCCACCACCAAACGCACACACACGCACAACCAGTATATTTCCATTCCAGATGAGTACCTTGTGTGGAAACCTTCTAACTTAATTTCTTAAGTGGGGAAAGAATGACTGACTTTTCTGATCTTAGAAAAATTAATTAGTATGGAAGATACAAGGCTGGCTGAGTTTCAGCCCTTGTGAACTGAACATTTTACAATACAGTAAATGACCAGTTCTTTGCTGGGGGCTAACTCTAGGGCAAATCAATGGGACAGGCCACAAGAGAGCATGAATATATAAAGATTAATTCATATTCAACCATTTTATCCTAGGATTTTATAAGAAAGGCTATATATTAAGCAGGAGATTTATTAAATAGTATGTCTATTGTGCCAACTCCATGTAATGAAAAACTAATTATAAACAGGCTTGTCTGTCATCCTAAGAGATGGGTAGATCTCAAAGTCCCTTGTAGGTTGGCAGAAATGCTTTGGATTAAATGTTAGGTATTAGTGGGGAAATCTCAATAGCACAGGATTTTCGTGACTTCAGTTAACTGTGGTAAGGATTCTATTTAAAACCTGCAGTATTTCAAAGACTCTTGAGTGCTGTCATAGCAATAGTATGTAGCTTGGTGGAAAGAAAACTAGATTTTTCATGGTATGGATTTAGAAGTAATAAATGCCACCCCAGAGATGGAAAATGAAAATTATTTCTAGTGCTTTCTTCATAAATTGAAACTTTTAAATCTTTTATGCATAATGAGGTTATTTACAAGTATATGTCTCGAACATTTCACATGTTGTTGAGTTTCTAACATCATGAACAAGACTGGTATCACAGCTATCTAATTCAGGCGTTGGATATTAATAGTAGGAGGTATTTGTTGTTGTTGACTAGTTTTGTGGGACGAGGAAGGTGAAAATCTTAGTCCTGTATCTTTTCTGCAATGGCAGAAGAATTTCCAAAACAAACGGTTAATAATTGGTGATACTCTGTGATGATGTTTTGCTGTAAAGTAAAAGTATCCAAGACATTAAAGGCCAAATACTGCATAGCACCTTACAATAGCTTGAATTCTAAAAGTATATAAAACCCTAATTTAAATTTGCTGCCTCTTCCTCCTCTTCCTCTTCCTCCTCCCCCTCCTCCTCACTTTGAGACAGGACTCATCCATGTATCCCTGGCTAGTTTTGAACTCACTATGTAGCCAAAGGTGACCTTGAACTTCTTATCCTCTGACCTCTACTTCCCAAGTACTAAGATTCTGAACTTTAAAATGTGCTTGTGTGTATGTGTGTGTGTGTGTGTGTGTGTGTGTGTGTGTGTGTGTGTGGTGTTAGGGATGTAGCTTAACTGGTAGACTGCCTGCTTAACAGTCATAGAGCCCTAAATTCAATCCCTTATAAACTAGTGGTACACACTTGTAATCCCAGCACCACAGAAGTGGAAGGAAGAGGATCAGAAGTTTCAGGTCAGCCTCGCCTACACTGAGGCCAACCTGGGCTATATGAGACGTTGTCTCAGAAAAACAAATTAAAAAAAAAAAAACCACACAAAAAGCAAAAACAAAAAACACCAAAAGAACCTTAAATGATGTCAGGTCTCAAAATAGGCAGAAAGTAACCAGTCTATAGTAGCCCACAGCTCCATGGTTTCTACCAGCAGAAACAAGGAAATACATTAGAGGTAGGGGACAGAGACCACAAACCTTGGTGGCTTGAGAGGTAGAAAGAGTCTTGAAATAAGCAGGAGAATTGAAAATCAGGCTGAGGGTTAGGATATAGTCAAAACTTTCTTTTATTATGTAGATTATTGTGGTTTGGTTTTTGAGACAGAGTCTTTTCTGTAGACCAGGCTTGAACTCATGATCTTCCTTCTTCAGCCTCACAGGTACTGGGATTACAGGCATGAGCCACTATGCCCAGTTCAAAACTTCCATAGCCACAACAGAAAAGGATATTAGCATCTCAGAAACTGAGGCCTTTTGATCCATGTCATCTTATCCTAAGAGGATGTCAGAAGCACAGAATGTTCTCATGTTCAGGAGACGGTCACTAAGGATCTCTACTTTCTGGGTGTTCAGCTGGATGCCAGTGGCACACGGAGGAGTAAGACAGTGTCTGACTCCACAGCCTTTTAAGTCATAACACTGCCTTCCATTTTTTGATCTATGGCTGTGCTCGGAGCACTGGGAAAGACACCTTACATATTCTTCCTAATCTCCATCTCACAGATTGGTATATAAGGCACAGAGACGTTGCTGTTGAAATTGACAACAGGGTTGACTTGTGGGACCATCTTCATGCAGTAGCCTGCCCTGTTCTCTCGTTGGTCAGTTTATTTGTGTCTGAGTTCAGTACATCTCAGAAAGACCATTTAGAGATGCTGCTGTGTAGGGCAGAAAGTGCTTTGACTGGAGATTAGACATTTAGAAAGTAGCAATGATCAGTTAGGAGATATTAAATAGTATTTGCCCAGGTGACTCATTTTCTACCCTGGGGAGGTATGTGAGGAAGCACATGGAAGGGACTGTTGGAAGGAGCCTTAGATTGGTGGTTGAATTTGTGCCTAAAACTCTAGTACAAAGCACTTTGTTAGTAAGCTGGTCCTCTGCTCGTGGCCTAGGCTTGAAAGCGTACAGCCTGTTTCTCTAAACCATAGCCAAATTCAGATCCGGCTCCTCTCTGGGCTAGTTGCATGAAAGGGCAAGAGGTGGAAAGCGAGCCAGGAAGGATGGGCGTCACACTCCCACACATGAACTTCTTTTCACTTACCACATCCACTAGCCCATGTGGCTTGCCAGTGTCTTTGAAGACCTCCTACTGAGAGAGAAGACACTGCCTCCCTGGGTGCTCACTCTAGAAAATGAAGGGAATTGAGCACCCCCACCAAAAGGCTGAATTTCAAGGGGGTTGGACTCTCTCCCCTTTACTGACTGAAAAGCTGTGTGACTTCTGTAAGGCAAATGAGTTGCCTAGGGGAACAGAACCTGGGCATCAGCAGAAGATAGCCATTTCACAGGAGCTGGCCACTCCTAAAACTTGTGTTTAATGAGCTATGTGGAACCTAGCAGACCCATAGATGTTTCTTCCTGTTAGGGAGAGTATGTATACCTGAGCCTCTGGTGCCTGGGTTGGCCCAGACTCTAGTATAATAGGCAGGTCTCCAGGTCAGGTCTGGGTGAATGAAAGGCTGTACTTTGCTCTGTAGAAATTTCAGGTCTTGCGGGATTAGAGAACTGCCTGCGCCCCAGTGCACGGTAGATCACCTCTTGAACTTTCACAGCACCAGATTATTTCAGCTGAGGTTGTTTATAAACCAACCCACGAACTTGCCAGTGTGTTACAGCTCTGGACTCACAGAGCCCTATCATTTTCCCAGCCCCACAGGACCCTGCAGCATCTAGAAATCTGATTTTAGTCAGTCATTCTCCCTCAGTCTTGCATACATTTACTCAGTGTTGAGATGGGAAAAAATCTGCCCAGTGTTATTAAGTCATCTTTTTTATTTCAGCCACAGAAAAAGAGAGCGATTACTGTAGGTACAAGCCTCACAATCTTCCACAATATTTTCTTTCTGCCACATCTCAGTGCCTAATTGTTTGTCTTTGCAAAAGTAACTGTACAAAAACATTTGGTTACTGTATTTTATAAGTTGTGGCCTTTATTTAGTTTTTGTATTGTTTCCTTCTTTTGCCTTTTATTAGAGACAATTTAGTTCAGCTTCTTTTTAAACATTGTTATTTGTTTGTTTGTTTATTTATTTATTTATTTATTTATTTATTTATTTATTTATCTATTATGTGTGTGGGTGTACATGCCATAGCACACATATGGAGCTCAGAGGACAACCTGCAGGAGCCAGTCCTCTCCATACACCACGTGGGTCCCAGGGATTGAACTCAGGTCATCGGGCTTGGCAGCAAATACCTTTACCTGCTGAGTCATCTCACTGGTCCTAGTTCAGCTTCTTCTGTAAAGCTAACATGACAGTTTGAATTTCCTTGTTGAACACATCCCATCTGTCTTCTGCTGTGCCATAGCCAAGCTGTTTTGAGAGTGGGCTTAGAAAGATTTAAGTGGCAGTCAGGCCAGTGGTAACTTCCCAGTTCCTCCAAACCTTGCTCTGTGCAGCTAGACTTGTCTTACCTGCCAGGCCACTCATGCAGTGTTATCTTTGAATTACTTGGGTCACATTTTCTGATCCTTCTGCCGAGATGATCTTTATTTCTCCCTTCTTTGTCACTGGAAGGAGCCACACAGAAGGAATGTTTGATTCCCTGCTTAAAGGGTTGGGAGACTCCCAGCCCAGAACACACAGCTCTGGAGGCATAAGGAATCTAAACATTGCCATGTTGGTATAGAGGGTGCAGGTCTTCATGAGGTTCTGACTTTGAAATTACCTCCATCTTGTCCAAGCTGGCTCCATCTTGTCTAGGCTGTCTCTGTCTTGTCCAGGCTGACCCTGTCTTGTCCAGGCTGGCCCTGTCTTATCTAGGCTGACCCCATCTTGTCCAGGCTGGCCCCGTCTTGTCCAGGCTGGCCCCGTCATGTCCAGGCTGGCCCCGTCTTGTCCAGGCTGGCCCTGTCATGTCCAGGCTGACCCCATCTTGTCCAGGCTGGGCCCGTCTTGTCCAGGCTGGCCCTGTCATGTCCAGGCTGTCTCTGTCTTGTCCAGGCTGGCCCCGTCTTGTCCAGGCTGGCCCCGTCTTATCCAGGCTGGCTCTGTCTTGTCCAGGCTGGCCCTGTCTTGTCCAGGCTGGCCCCGTCTTGTCCAGGCTGGCTCTGTAGTCAGCTCTTCACCTCATTTACTTCTACACTAAATGTTCTGCTGCACTGTGGGAAAATTCTCACCAAAAGCCACGTTTGCAAAGAATTAAATATGTGAAACAGTTGCAACACATGTCCAGAAATTTGAATATTATGTTTCTGGAATTGTGTACTTTAATAGATAAAGTGAGTATTGATGAAATTTTGCTTTTACTCCCCAAAGTAGAAAGCTTATGTACTATGTTTGCAAACCCTTAGATTGTTCTCATTAATACGCTGATGGATAGAAGCTGTTTCTGCTTCCTAGGTGTACTCTTCTGTCTCCTGACTCCTCTTTTGATGGAGTTTTTACCTCTAGTTCAAAGATTTAGGGAGAGCGAGGTAGGGGTTCAGGCCATCCTTGTGTGCCTGTTTTCCCAGGAGTTTCAGTACACAGTCCCCGAGGAATTATCTGGGGTTTATAGATCAGAAGGTAACAATTGCTCCATTGATTTTCAAAGGCACAGAGCCCTGTAGGCAGAACCCCATTAGATTGTGCCCATAAAGGAAACAGCAGCTTTTCATTGATGTACTTGTTAAAGATTACCAGCCTTGATAGTCCTAAATTTCAAAAGCTGGCAAAGTTAAGAAAAGAAAAAGCAAAAATGGCAACCATAGCCTGATGACTGTGACTTGCTATTGTTTGGGCTTTGGGGAGATCAGGCATCAAAGGAAATTTTCTGCCAAAGGAATGATTTGAGATAGAGTGCAACTAAATTGTGTTCTGTGTTTAAGTTTCAGATTACAAAAACAATCACAAATTAATTCTAGCCAGCAATGTGACATTGTAGTAGCTCTCTTGAAAGGTATCTCATCCTTGTCCAAATCTCTACTTTAAATGTGTTATCTTAAAATTACACACAATCCATTCATTGGTCTCCTTCCTCCCAAGGCTGTTTGTTGGAAAGGATGCTGTGGCTTTGAGATGAATTTTTAAAGGGGGTTTTCATCGGCGGTAGCCTGCTGGTTCTGCTCTGTGTGAATTGCAGTAAAATCTGGTTTGATGCATTTCTGGTTTATTTTTCTCTTTTACTTTCCATATAAGATGTAAATAAATATCGTGTGTTCTTGCCCATCTTTTTTTTCTGTTCTAGACTATGAATCCTCCTCTCCCTCCACCCCCTCTCATGGCTGCCACTGTCCTCGCCTCCACACCGTCAGGCACTACTACTGCTGCTGCTGTTGCTGCTGCTGCTACTGGAATGGGACCCAGGCCCATGGCGGGATCTACTGACCAGATCACACATTTACGGCCTCAGACTCGCCCCAGTGTGTAAGTGAGGGTGTCTTATTACTATTTAAGCATCCATTTCAAACTAAACCCAAACAACAGAGATAAAGAGATGCATTTCTGATAGGAGCTAGTTGACTGGCTTATGGCTCACCAAGGGGTTTGTATTCTAGAAACTTCTACCTGGTCATGCATATAATAGGAAAGGCACTTAAACAAAATGAGCCAAACACGAGTTTGTTAGGTACCTGTCCTGCTGAGTAAAGGCCTTTGAGGCTTCAGGGAAAGGTACTTGTTCACTTCTTTATAACACTGTCTGTACAGGGAACTTCTCCTTTGTACAGCTCCTGTTTGAGATTTTTGACATCATTTGCATTCCTTGCAGCAGGATCTTAAGGGACAGGAGGGTATTCTACACATATTAGATCTAGTTTCCTTCAGCATATAAAAAGCTGTGGGTCCCCAGCAGTAAGTATCCAGAATGGTCCAGTTGTCCTGTGGACTTTGCTGATGACAGAATGCAGCAAATTTTTTGCAGCTCCCACTTTGTGTGAATCTGCTCTTGGCAGTTCAGAGCACTGGCAAGATCTACAGGTCAGTGTTTGCCTACGTGGTTCCTGTGTGTGGACAGGCACAATCGCCTTGCTTTGGGGAGTTGTTTTGTTCTCTGTATGACCTAGACTTTCTTTTCCAAATCCAATCTGCCTCCTGGCTGAGCTTACAAAAGCAGGTGCTGCCTAAGCCTCTAGGTTCAGTGTGTGTAGAAGGCAGCATATTGTGTTTCCCAATGGGATTTATGCCATATGTCCTCATTTGGGGCTCTTTCCCAACTCTAACAAGTGCCATTTGAAGAACTCAATTTTCCCAGTGGGCTCCTAATCCGTAGCACCAACATAGGCACTCTTGGAAACTGCATTAATTCTTTCACACCACACGAATACCATTTGGTGAGATAATCACTTCCACAGGTTCTTAATCAGGAAGGCCTCTGCTGCACTAAAAGGGTAGACAGCCAAACCTCTTTCCATGGAGACTTGCCAATACTCCTTACAGGTTAAAAGATTTTACTTCTGTTTACCTTCATATAAAATAGTCAAGACTTTGTACCCAGCCAGAATTTTGAGATTATAGCATGTATCTGTTAGCCTGAGAGTGTTTTTTCTCTTCTAGGTATGTTGCCATATACCCGTACACTCCCCGGAAGGAGGATGAGCTAGAGCTGAGAAAAGGGGAGATGTTTTTGGTGTTTGAGCGTTGCCAGGATGGCTGGTTCAAAGGGACATCCATGCACACCAGCAAGATTGGGGTTTTCCCTGGCAATTATGTGGCACCAGTCACGAGGTATGAACGAATGGTTTAGTAAGTTCTAAACAGAAGAGCTTTGTTCATTTCCAGGGTTTTCAGTCTCTTCAGATCCCCGCTCACATTGTAATTACCTGTTACAAAAGCCAAAGTTTGTAAAATCCATATCTATATCTGCTAAAATTCCTTCTAATACTAAGATTCTTAGCTTACTTTTCATGTGGATATGTGTTGAAATTATAGGTTTCTACCAATAAACGTACTGGGGGGTGTAAGCTATTTGCTTTATTTTATAGGTGAGAAGACTCAACTATTCCATTTTCAGTATTTTTCTACTAAAAAAAAATAAAAGGCATATTTTAAATGAACAAAAGATGTATTATTAATGCTTACATGTTTATATAATGCCTGCTATATACCAGGCAGGCAGATTTCTAAACATACTACATTTATTAATTCTTAATCTTTAACTCATTGATGCAGTTGCTATTATTATCCCCATTTAATAAATGGAGAAATTGAGGCACAGAGAGACTAAGTAACTTGTATGAGATCACATAGTGAAGAAGTGCTCAAAGCCAGCCAATTCATTGCATTAATTAATTAATTCATTCATTCAAAGCCAGCCAATTCATTCATTCATTCAAAGCCAGCCAATTCATTGCATTAATTCATTAATTTGGTGATTATCTTTGAATTCTGATAAGCTTTCTAATAGAGTCAGAAATAGAAATTCCTTAAATGACATGAATCAATTTTAAATGAAGACAATTTCTTTCCCAGAACGTCATTTGACAATGTCTGGACATATTTTTGATTTTCACAATTGATGGTGTGAAGTATTGCTGCCATTTAGTGATGGAGGCAAAGGATTCTACTAAAACTTGTAATATGCAGGATCGACCTCCCTGCCACCTCTGGATAAGCCTGCTTCTGGTTTCCTTTCTGTTGTGATAAAATACTTTGGCCAAAAGCAATTTAGGGGAGGAAAAGTTTACTGTAGTTTACAACTCTAGCTCACAGTCCATCACTGAGGGAAGTCAAGGCAGAGACTCGAAGGCAGGACTGCTTCCTATTCTACACAGCATTACCTCCAATGAAGAAACTCACAGCCAGAGAAGTCTGGCAGGAACCAGTGGATACTGCATGTGATGACTTATAGACAGGTTTATGCTCAGCTAACTTTTCATACAGTTCAGGACCACCTGCCTATAGAATGGTACTGCCCACAGTGGGCTGGTCATCAATTAACCAGTCTCCTATAGATATGTCCACAGGCCAGTTCAACCCACAGGCAATTCCTCAATTGAGACTTTCTCCTCAAATAATTCTAGGCTATGTCAAATTGACAGTTAAAGCTAACCAGGACAACCCACAAGAGGAATAATCTAGCCCAAGAGGCTCAGAAACCCTGATACACACACACACACACACACACACACACACACACACACATTTATATAATGCCTGCTATAAAACAGGCAGGCAGATTTCTAAATATATTACATTTATTCTTAGTTTTATATATAATATATATTAAATTCTTTTATTTTATTTAAAGATAGTGTACTTTCTGGTTATTGAGCAAAGTCACCTTGAAAACTAAAAGAAAAGACTTGTAATGAAACCAACACTGAGATACCCCTGGTTTTTGACCATCGACTCTTAATAAGCAATCCAGGTCTTGCTGTGTTAAATCATTCCTACAACCTCCTGATTTTAAATAAATGGCTTAATGAACTGACATGTTTGTCAGCTGTTGCCCTTGATTTATAGGTTGGCCAGCAGCCTAATCAAATGAAAATCACTTTTGTTGCAGATGGTGACAGAATGTTAGCTTTAATTTGACTTGCAAATTTTTAATCAATATAAACCTTCTTTTCTGTACATGTTAATATATACATTGAGGATCTGACACATCCAGAAAATGGCAAACAACCTTTCTGGTACAAAGAATAAATGTGTAATAAATAAGAGAAATACAGCAAGCAATAATAAAAATGAAATTAATGAATGATGACATTTTTACAATATTTAAAAAATTATTAAAAGTTTCTTCACATTTAACTCTGGAGAAATGCTTGCATACAGCAAATGCTACTCATTATGGTGGAAGGGCGATCTTAATAGTGTATTCTACTTAATAGACTATTGTTATATACTCAATTGCCATTTAAATGGATTTAGAATATTCAAAAACATACATTACACAAACTACTCCATATTTAGTTAAATTTCAACAGTATATCCCTATAGCCAAGTAAATGCTGGAGGACTAGGAAAAAATAAAACAAAGCAACAACAAACCATTGTACACTGGCCTAGCCTTTAAAGAGCTTTCACTGAATCATTAGTGTTTAATGTAGGTAGTATATGTCTGTAGTAAAACAGTATTTGCTGGACATGACAGAGCCATTGCACATATGAAATCATAGCGGTTGTAACTGCATGCACAAGATCTGTACAAACCCAAACCAACTAAAATCCCAGCATGGATAGGAGGTGGGAGATGTGAAGTCCTAGCCCTAGCTGAGAAGCTATTGGCAATTGATGGCTGTTGGGGGAAGGAGAGTCAGTTTTCTTCAGGGATGTGGTCCCTGAGAGACTACCCATGCTCCATTAGGTGGTCCCACATCCATGCACATACAGGAAGCACTAAGTGCACTCAGTGGGTTGAGAGAGGGAGGGAAGGAGGGAGGGAGGGAGGGATGAAGGAAGAAAGAGAGCAGCTTTGAAGTTGGGAGGGAAAAGTGGGAGGGATAGGGGAGAAGCTGGAGGGGAGGAAATTGGGGATGGACTTGAACAAAACGTATTATTTGAGTGCATGAAATTCTCAAACAATTAAAATAAATAAGATAAAATAAAAATACACCAAATCAGTAGTCAAACTGTAAACACTGCATGGAATAGAAAGATGGAATGAAGGAAGCAGTTTACACAAAACAGTTGACTCATAAGACTTAAACTTCAACTTTAGGTCAGACTTCTTGAAATGATTGGATCTGTACTGGATTTTGAAACTTAAATGAGATAGAGATAGATCAAAAGAAGCCTTAAAGGCCATTCAAATTGTGTGTGCATAGTGTATATGGGGCACACATCAGTGTGTACCCAGCCTCTTGTTAGAGGCAAGTTGAGAAAGTCAGAAAGCAAAAACAAAGTGATGGAAATGTGGGTATTATAAGGAAACAAGCTTTGCTCGGGGGTGAAGTGGGAGAATTCAGGCCTTTGCAAGTCAGTGGAGGTGAGTGAGTAGCCGTGAAATGAGAAGTTGAATGTAGTAACTATGTATTCTTAGGCAGAGTATGGTGTGTGGTTTGGTAACTCAGAATGGCGTCAAGACCTTTCTCTGCCTCAGGGCCATCATTTCTTTGAACTTGCTATTCCTAAAAACTTGTAAAAATAATTCCATTCATTTTAAAAAATGTTCTCTCTCTAAAGTTGAGTCATTTTTCTTGCTTTTAATTGTTCTGTCTCCCACTTTGCTGATGGATCGATTGGGTTTTCCATCTGTTTGTGTCTTGGCAGGGCAGTGACAAATGCTTCCCAAGCTAAAGTCCCTATGTCTACTGCGGGTCAGACAAGTCGGGGGGTGACAATGGTCAGTCCTTCTACTGCTGGAGGGCATACCCAGAAGCTCCAAGGAAATGGTGTGGTCGGAAATCCCAGTGTTGTCCCCACAGCTGTGGTGTCAGCCGCTCACATCCAGACAAGTCCTCAGGCAAAGGTCCTGCTACACATGACTGGTCAAATGACAGTCAACCAGGCCCGCAATGCTGTGAGAACAGGTAAGACTGGAACAATGGTGGCAAAGGGCTTACCTCACTACTAGCAGGTCATTTATGACAGGTGTTGAAAAGGGGGTATGATATTAAAACAATGAGTAGCGTGTAGAAACAGAAACAGGCACAACATAGTCACTAGTGCTGTCTTAGTGTCACAGTTTTTTTTTTGTCTCTGGGACAAATACCTGAGATAAATACCCTAAAAGGAAGAAAAGCTTATTTGGCTCATGGTTACTGGGCCTATCACTGCAAGCCTGTCCTGGTTAGCTTTTCAGATGATATGATGAAACACTGACCAAAACCAACTTGGGAGAGAAAGGCTTTATTTTCACCTACAAGTTGTGGTTCATCCTTGAGGGAAGCCAAGGCAGAAATTGCAGCAGAGATCACCAAGGAACACTGCTTTCTGGCTTGCTCCCCTGGATTGCTTAGTTACTTTTCTTATATAGACCAAGCCTACCTATCCAGGGATTGGCACCACCCACAGTGGGCTGGACCCACTACATCAATTAACAATCAAGAAAATGCCCTACAGACATGCCCCCAGGCCAGTCTGATGGAGGAAAGTTCTCAGTTGAGGTTCCCTCTTCCCAGGTCACTCTAGTTTGTGTCAACTTGACAAAAACTAGCTAGCACAAGGTCTGTAGTGAGGCAGAGCATGGTGGCAGAGAGGGTGTGGTGGAGCAGAGATGATAACTTCCTGTTGGCCAGAAACCACCATGACAGGAAGGGACCAGAACAAGATATAGGATTCAAAAACAAGCCCTCTCCTCTAAGCAGGCCCCACCTCTTTAGACTGTTGATAGAGTTAGCATCCTCATGATCCAATCATCTCTCAGTACCACCATCACCTGGGGACCAAACCTTTAACACAGGCCCTTTCTCAAGGTACAATTCATGTCTATACTATTAACAGACACTTTATATCTGTTTGGGCCAAGCCTCCCTACACACTAGTTCAAAACTGATATGTCTAAACTCTGTAGAAAAAAATAATTGGCCTGATCCTAAGAATGTCAGTATTGTGGTACTTGAAAGTACGACTTCTATGGTCAAGATTCTGGCCTCAAATCTCATTGTCCCTCGTTGTATGACTACTGTGTGACTGGCTGTTCAACAGTGTGCTGGTTATTTTTGATGAACTTGGGTTGCAAGTCTATTTTAGACCCAGTGAGAACTTAAATACGTTTCTTAGTTCTATGGCATTGAAAAGCTATCAAGAGTCTTGGGTAACTGTGGTGGAGTAAAGGAGATACATGTGAATTCTATCAGAAAGAACAAGAAGAAAAGTGGGTAGTAAGAAAAGGAAATGGGCACTGGAGAGATGACTCAGTGGTTAAGAGCAATGGCTGCTCCTGCAGAGGACCTGGGTTCCATTCCCAGCACTCACGTGTCAGCTAACAAGTGTCTGTAACTTCAGTTCCAGGGGAATCCAACACCTTCTGGCCTCCATGGCCAGTGCAGTTACATACATGCAGGCAAAACATTCATACACATAAAATAAAAATGTACCAAAAAATTTTTAAAGAAAAGAGGACTCCAGACCAGTGTGTGATTGGTTGCTCTGCAGACTCATCAGAAATTGGCTCAGTGTCTCTAATGCTGTGGAAAGATATTCTCTGTACTAAAGGGCCTTAACGTTGGTTATAGCTGATCTTCCAGGTCCTCACGAGACTCATCTATGGATCTAGCTAAGACTTAAACTACCCTTCATCCATTCTTTATTGTAATAAATGACAGGAGCAACCTCTCATGGTCTGATGCAGCAAAATGACTACTGTGTGATTCTCTGTTAAACAGTGTGATGATTATTTTTGATGAACTTGGTTGCAAATCTATTTTAGACCCATTAGGAACTTCAATACCTTTCTTAGTTCTATGACCTTGAAAACCTACTAAAAGTCTTAAATAACCATGCTGGAGTAAAGGAAATACATGTGAATTCTATCAGAAAAAAACAACAAGAAGAAAAGTGGCGAAAAGTGGCCGCTCATGTGTTGGTGAGCAGTATTTATTAGGCCACTGACTCTTGCTGTATTCCCTCCTGTCATCTACCAGTTGCAGCACATAACCAAGAACGCCCCACGGCAGCAGTGACACCCATCCAAGTACAGAATGCCGCCTGCCTGGGACCTGCATCTGTGGGCCTGCCCCATCACTCATTGGCTTCCCAACCTCTGCCTCCAATGGCAGGCTCTGCTGCCCATGTTGCTGCCGTCAGTATCAGTCGGACCAATGTTCCCCTGGCTTGCCCTGGAGCTGCATCATTGACCTCCCCAAACATGACTGCTGCCACTCTGGAGACCGAGCCTGGTGGCCGGACAGTGACCATCCTCCCTGGACTCCCCACATCTCCTGACAATTCTGCATCAGCTTGTGGGAACAGTTCAGCAATCAAACTAGACAAGGACATCAAAGTAAGACTCCCTGTTTCTCTGCTTCTATTGTATCCTGTAGTTTCTAGCTAATGAAATGGCTCATTGTTCTGAGGTCCTTCATGTGCTCACGTGGGCAAGTCCAGGTGCCCCGTGCCAGGAATACAACAGTGAGGAAGCCTGGCCACCACCCTGACCTCATATCCAGGTCTTACATGTCTCTGTATTTAAATGCCACCAGTTGCCAGGCCCAATAGATGTTAGGGAGACCACAGTGAGTAAGATTTAGTCAGCCTCCGCTTGCTGCTGACTGCCTCAGAAAGGAACTTCCTCTCCTTCAGTTACTCACTCTTTCATCATTTTGCTGTTCCCAGGTTTTCCTGTCCAGTTGGTCTTGCTTGTTAACAATTCTGTTAAAAAAAAAAAAAATTTAGCTGACCCACACCTTCAATCCCAGCACTCGGGAGGCAGAGGCAGGCGGATTACTTTGAGATTGAGGCAGAAGAAGGTTGGACAGAGATCCAGGCCAACTGGGACTACAGGGAGAACTTGACTCAAAAAATAAAAATAAAAAATCATTTTAACATATGAGGGTTTGAAAGTGTCCATTAAAAATATTATCTGCAAATTTATTTTATCTGTAGTACATTTAGCCATCATCAGCAGGATTTCTTGAGAGATAGGACCTGAAACATAAGGGAGAGTTCATCTCTCCTTTGGGGCTCGGGTTCAAATAAATACAATAGAAAACTATTTTGAAAGATTACCCTATGGGTGGGCACAGAGACAGGTCTGTTGAAGGGAAGAGAAATTGCTGGTGACTCAGTGTGAATAAGGTCTGGGCAGTTGTACCACAGTCTTGACTTCTTATTCAGTATTTCCTGCCTTTCCCTCAAAACTGTAGAGCAGCTCTGGGAAGCTTTCTTGAAATCACAAACTCTTAGCCCCCAGGCTCCTAATGGATAGACTTCTACCGAAATGGCTCGGGAAGCCTATAAATAGGAGTTTATAAGGAAATAAACTTTAACACCTACTAAAAAGTTAATTTTTGGTTAACCTTTAATGAGAGTTTTTTTTTTTAAAGATTGGTATCTGTTTTTGTTTATAATTAACTGTGTTAAACTTGTAGCCAAGGTGACATGTCCAACTTTGTTAGTATTTTGAAAGAATTATTTTTAGACTTTTTGGGTTTGGGGGGCCGGTTTTGTTTTTATTTTTTATTTTTATTATTTTATGTGTATGAGTGTATCGCCTGCATGTATGTGAGTGCACTCGTGTTGTGCAATGCCACGGAGGTCAGAAGAGGACTTTGGATTCCCCTGGAACTGGAGTTAAGAATGTGCCATCTCTCCAGCCCCTATATACTTTTTGTTTTAAGGTTTGGTCATAATGTCCCTGGTCACTTAGGGGAACAAGGGCCCTTCAGCCCTCGCCTTCTCGGCACTTGCATTAATAGACTTCATAGAGGGACTAGAGAGGTGGCTCAGCAGTTAAGAATACTGACTGTTCTTGCAGAAGACCTGGGTTCCATTCCCAGCACCCGCATGATGGCTAACAACTGTCCATAAATCCAATTCAGGGAAATCCTATGCCCCCTTCTGACCTCTGTGGGCATTGTACAACATGGGTGCCCTTATATACACGCAGACAATACACTCATACACATAAAATAATAATAAAATATTTTCTAAACATAGACTTCATAGATACCTGTGGTAAAAAGAATAGTGGTCCCCAAAGATGACTTTCTCTTGATTCCAGGAACTTTCCTTACTGTTTTCTTTTTTTTTCGTCTTTTTGAGACAGGGTCTCTCTGTAGCCCCAGCTGTCCTGGAACTCACTATGTAGACCAGGCTGGCCTTGAGCTCACAGAGATTCACCTGCCTCTGCCTCCCGAGTACTAGAATTAAAGGCGTGGGCCACCACGCCCGGCCTTACTGTTTTCTTACTACAAAAGGACTTTGCAGATGGGATTAAGTTAAAAGTTCTGAGATGAGGCATTTTCCTTATGGATGGGCCCAATGTTAAGTGCATAGACCCATTGGGAACTTAAATACCTTTCTTAGTTCTATGACATTGAAAACCTTCTTCCTGAAGGGAGGCAATAAGGTTAGGGCACTTGAGACAGATATGGTAAAACATAGGTGGAGTGATACAAGAAAGGGGGTATACATCAAGGGATGTGGGAGGCCTCGGGAACCTGGAAGAGACTGGAAGGCTCTTCCCCACAGTGTCCATGTGTCCCTGCAACATCTTGATTTTAGAATCTAGTACTTTTTTCCCCACAAAGTTTGCAGTAATTTGTTTCAGTAGTGTGCTGGATAGCTTTAGTGTCAACTTGACACACCTGGGTTGAAGGAGCCTCAGTTGGGGAATTCTCCATAGGACTGGCCTGTGGCCATGTCTGTGGGGCATCTTCTTGATTGTTAAGTGATGTGGGAGGGCCCAGCCCACTGTGGGTGGTGCTACCCCTGGGCACATGGGCTGTGTTGCATAAAAAGCAGGCTGAGCCGGGGTCAGGGGAGCAAGCGGGTAAACAGCATTCCTCCCTGGCCTGTGCTCCAGCTCCTGCTTCCAGGTTCCTTACCTGAGTTCCTACCCTGGGCTCCCTGGTGAACTTTGACCTGGGAGATGTAAGCTGAATAAACCCTTTCCTCCCCAAGTTGGTAACGGTCAGAGTGTTTTGTCACAGCAATGAAGAAACAAGTTAGAACAAGTAGCCACTAGTATATAACCTTAGTATCATCCCCTTGATTACTCATCCATGACAAATGGCCACCAGTCTCTGCTTGAACCAGTGACTGCAAGTGTCATGTCCCCCCAGATGATTTCCTTCCCAAAATTTTTTAAAGATTTATTTTTTATTATTTTAAATCCTGTGTTTGTGTGCGTCTGTGTGTGTGTGTCTGTGTGTGTGTGTATGTGTGTGTGTGCTCTTAATTGGTGAGCCATCTCTCAGATCTTCAGTTCTCCTCCTCTACTTAAGGAATGAACCCCTGCCTTTAGCTTCATAGGCAAGTGTTCTACCACTGAGCTAAGTCCCCCAACCCCCTTCTGTCCATTCTTAACTCAGCAGAAATTTATCAAGCATGTGTCTGTCTCCCTGTGCCCTCCCTTCATTTTAAGAGCCTTGTAGAAATTACTGTTTTACACAGTTTTACACAATATCCGCCCTGAGATATTTGCAAAATTGTTCCCTTGTTTTTCTGTTTGTTTGTTTGTTTTGTTTTGTTTTAAGAGTGTGCTAAGTTTTCATCTCTTCCTCATGGCATGAATTGCAAATTTCCCTTCTAAAATCATGAACTTTCCAAATCCAGTGCAGACACCTCTGGTTGATATTAATTCACAATAATTCTGTGATTATCATCACTTTATAACCATGAATCCTCAAGACTGGAGTGTCACTTGACCCACTTTGTCATATCATGGGAAATCTTGCCAGATGCCACATAGAAATCCAATAGTTACCCCATCAGTTTTGCTGTTATTTATTGGTAATAAATGTCTTCTAGAAGTGTCTCCTCCTTAGAATCTCATTTCCTTGTCTAAGTGCTTGTAAGCCTTTCATTTAATATCATTTTAGTATTTCCCAGATGGTCTACAAAGTACCTTTATTAGAGCAGCAATAAAGGCCCATAAGAATAACTCCTGGTCAAGAGAATAGACTCTCTGACCTGGGTGGAGAACATGCCAGTTGAGAGGATCTATCACCTGACCGAGAACACCCCCCCCCACCCCCCCACCCGCCAAGGTGGGTTCACCTTAAGCCAGGCTAAGGAGGTAGAGGGAATAATTATTCCCTTAATGAGATACTGCACTTTTCCTTCCCAGAATCCCCACTCCCAAGCAAAGTCCCTACAAGTCTCCATGAGGTTGCCCTGAGGCTTGTTAGATCTGCCCATCTCTGAGCACTGACTCAGAAAGTGCAGTTTTTCCTTTTTCTTTTTTCTGTTTATTTTGAGTGTCAGCTACACTGTAAGTCTGCTTTTTGGGCTTCCTTACTTTCTCTAGATCCCCCTCCCCCACCATGTGGCTCCCTGCTGCACGGCTTCTCCCTTCTCAACTTTAATAAAATTGTCTTTGGGCTTCAATTTTGAGTCAGTTCATAAATTCTGTTATTGGTGAAACAAAGAACCCCAAGAGAGGACCCCAATTTCCCTGGCATTACCTGGTGACCATGAGGGGACCTCCCAAAAATTGTTAACACCTTGTTGCCTTCTTTTTGAAAATTCGAATAGCGCATACCTCTCTTTTTGCCTATTAAATTGACCCTGATTGCAGTCATCATCAGTTTGCACTTCCACTGATAATGTTCCCTGTACACTGAGGTGAATTCAGCCCCATTAGGGGTGTTCATTCTGTCTTTTAATCCTAATCTCTTCATCCATTTCTTCCATATCCAGATTTGTTCTTCCTCTCCAATATGCAAATTAACCTTCCCTTTCTTCCTCCCATCTGAGAAGTCTCTACACCCCAGACAGCAGGGTGTGTCTATCTTGTTCTTTTTGTTTCAAATGTAACTTTAAAATAGCACTTGAATATTTTTTCTTTTTTTTTGTCTTTAGAATTTAACAGATTTAAGCTCATTCTGATCTTCAGCCTTCCTGCATGGCTATGGGCCCTGCTATGTTGTGACAGACTCTTCTCTTGATCTTTTCCTACTTGTCCTTTAAAAATTTGAGCCCATTAGGCTGCACCCTGGGGGCTCACACCAGTTCCTTTAGAGGCGTCTACATTTTCATCTGCAGGGATCATTTGCAATTGTATGAGTAGAATTTCATTTTGAGAGTCCTCTTGAACCATTTTCCCCTTTGAGTTTCATGCCATGCATATGTTTTCTTTGAACTTTTAAGCTCAGTTCTTTTAAACTTTATCACCAGTTTCTCGGGGGGGCGGTGCTTCTCTGGCCCCTGTCTAGTCCGCCCCACACCAGTCGATCAGAATTTGATTCCAAATTACAATTTGCTTTGCTTTCTGTGAAGTTAAACTATCAGCAAGTCAAGGCAGAGCGTATGGGAGATTGTAGTTTTAGTGGAGACCTC